GCAATCACCTCCCCTCATTAGTAAGCATTTAGGGACTCTTGCATGAATTCTTACTTACATTTTGCATCCTGAGAGAGAAGAGTCCTGCATTTAGACATCAGCTCCACACTTCGCTTCTACTGGAGATTTCAACGTTGCATTGGAAATGGATTCACACGCATTCATTGGAAGTTAATTGCATTTCTGAACTTGTTTTTAACAGAGAAGAGTCCATCTGTGGAGCAACTGTAAGGTGATACTCCAATAACCTCTTCCAGACATCTGATCTGTGTACTAAAGGATGGTTTTAGGGCCAGGCTTGCAAAATTGTGTGCTTTTCACATCATGCAATCATCTTCAGGTGTTTGGTGGGATCATACTGTGTGCTGGGCATGTTCTGATCCCGTCCCTGTTTTGCTGGGCTGTTGCAGCACAGGTCACAGCCTTTGTGGCCTGCCTGTTCCACCAATGGGTTGCAGCCTGTCCTGATGTTTAGGGTCCAGACCAAACTTCTCATGCAATCTATGTGGGTTAAAGATACACTCCATAAACATATAGCCAAGTATTAAAGTCTTAGCAAATCAAAGAGTTATTATTAGTCCAGTTACAATCATGCGAAGACATATAGTCCAAATTAGCCAATTATTGCAGCTCATTCAATAACGTTATAATTATAACTACTACACACAAACTTAATATTATCTATGCCTTTCTCTAGTATCGTTCTCACCCTTCCACTGGGCTCAAAAGTCAGTAACACTGGCCTTCTGTAGAAAAAGCAAAGGTTGGTTATAGTAAGTTGTCAGCATCCCAAGTTCTTTGCCATGATTACAGTGTTAATATTTATGATTTCTTCTTCCTCTTTGCCAGGAGAAGAATGATGCGCAAGGTCTGCTTGGGGTCATTTTTATCTGTTTCCTAACAGTCTGTTAACTTGTTTTTTTTCTTTTTTGGCTCACAGCTCTGTGTTATATCTCAGTTTGCTACATGTTTTAGGTTTTACCTATGTCGCAGACTTGTTCTTTGTTCTATTTGTTAGCCCACAAAATTGATTGACTCAGCTTCTAAAGCTCCATTTCTTTAGTGAACTGCAGCTGACAGTTTGTAGTCTGTGTCCACAGTCCTGAGGCCTCTGTTATTGCCCTGTGCTTGAATTTTCAAGGCCTCCGCTCTTACCTTGTACTTGTATTTTGGGAGGCCCAAAACACCCTGGTTTTTTCCCCACAGGCTTCAAGCTGTTGTTTCCAGATAATTTAACTAATGTTTTATTAGCACAGCCTAACCACCTGTAGCCAACATTTACTTGTTTTGGCAACATCACTGGTACATTATTAAAATTACTTTATAACTGGTCAGAACACCTCTCATTTCTTAGTTTATTCAAGTGTGACCAAAAAGCACTGCACAAGGCTGGCAGGAGAAAGCCCTATTAGAGGACGCTAAATCGATTTTTTTTTTTTAACACGCTCCACAAGTGACATATAGGAGCATAGGCCATGCACAAAATCTGCCTAGATACAGATTGGACTAGGAAAGAGTATGTTTTCTGTATCTATAATGATATATCTATCCTTCCATTTCTATATCTATACAGCTATCGACGACAGTAACCTTCAGGCAAAAGTAACCATGAGGGAGTGTTTCTGGATATCATTCATACAAAAACTAGCATAATGGAACAAAAAAAAAAGAGACTCCTAGCCCACCATCGGAAAACATTACTTTTGTGTGTTTGTCATGAGTTTCAGCAGTTCAGTATCAGAATTCCTTTCTCTTTCTTGTCAGAGACACTCCTGGGTCAACTTGCTTAACTAACCCTCGCTTCATTGCTGTACTGCTGCAATGCTAGTCTTCCTCAGTTACCCTCTTGAGAGGGGCAGGGAAAGAAGAAGGAAGGTCTAGAACTGTGAGTTTCCATTCATTTCTTTTCAGTTACCTAGAAAGAAGCTCTTGGTAACTTGACATATGGGAAGTATGTTATGCTTAAGGAGCTGTGAACTTTGGATGCTTTTGAAAAAAACTACAGTTAAGTGGGAACAGCTGTTTTGCATGGAACTGAGAGATCAGCTATTTTAACAAGAGACAGTCATCCTCCTGTTTAATAGAGGTGGCAAGCGGAACCAAGAATCTTTGCCTTAAAACCTTTTAGATTGTATTTTTCATCGCTTTGTTTCTGTAGTTTCTGTGACCCATTAATAAACACTGGAGCCTTTTTAGGCAACTGAACCAGTGTTCCACTGGAAAGTTGGCAGCCCGGATGGGACATAGCAAGGGCAGATGCTGGCACTGAAGCTGAATTCGCCTATTTTACTTGATACACTAGGCGTCGTTTAAATGGGAGCTGTTTTATCAGTCACTGTATTATGGAGGCAAAATTCAGGAAAGGAATCTGCTTTTGCAAGGGAAAAGTTCTTGCAAATTGATCACTGATTTAAGAATATAGCCAAAGCTCAGAAGGAGGAATTTCCTGCAGCTATGAAAAAAAAAAAAAAACAACTGGCTACCAGGCAAAGAATCTAGCCTCGATCCCTACTGAGTAGCAAAACTCCTGCCAACTTTGATGCCAGTAAGACTATAACCATTAGGGGTTAAGCAGCAGTGTATATATAGATTTAATGTATGAGGAACATCCAATGTAGAATAATTATCATCCCTCTAATAAGGGGTTCAAATTGCAGCAATCCTGACTCAACCTCTCATCTGTCAAAAACAAATAAATAGAGAATTATGGATTTCATTGCATCTGGCTGTTTCTTATGAAACCAAAGTCCTGCCCACTCAGCTTGGGCATAAGCAATCCCACAAAGGATGGTATGTTTTGTAAGAAGCTGGGAGGCTGTCCAAGGGTTGGCAGCCAAAATCTCCCTTCCCTACTATTGTTGTATAACGTGCTGTTAGTATCTGAGTGCTCCTGCTACTCACACAGTTCCCAAATGTGCTCGGTCCTTACTCCGGCGAAGTCCGTTGGAGGCTACGCAAAACTTTGCCTCCGTCACGACATATTTGGGGCCTTCTATGGACAGAAGAGACACCATGACAGTGTATAACTGGAGATACAGTGCTATATCAATAGTGTACTACAGAAATACACGCCCGTCAAACAGAGTTTCACTCTTGAAAAAATGTCAGTGGCACTTAACGCAAAATGGCTGGGACTACATACATTTATTTGTATTTATTTATAAAGGCCAGAAAGCAAAGGGCAAAAACTCATGAAAAAAGCAAGTTACTGAGTGATTTCATGTCTCTAAAGTCTTAAGTGAGTTAAAATAATGATAGATAAAGATATAGATTATTTTCACTGAGTGGTGGCTTGAAGAGATGGTAAGCATTACATTTCTGATGGAATGGGTGACTTTACCACTACAAACTCCAAGTGATTAATATGGTAGTATCTGCGCAGAAGGATGGAGGGAGTTCATCCATTCGATCAACTACCAGAGGCTTGGAGGACAACATCTACAACAAGGAACAAGAATTCCTGTTGTAAGTACCAGCTTACCAGTCTTCGGGATAGTTCCAATAAAAAGACTTGTGTGCTTAAAATGGGATGTAGCCTTACGAAGGGACTTCAAAATAAAGCAGCAGTTCAAATAACTTTGCTCAACTGCTGTCCAACCCTAATTTCCAAAGAGGTTTCCTTGCTTAGCTGTAAAGCTTTCCTGCAAGTGCACATTTTTGAATACCCTAGGTAGTAACCTAGTCTTTACAGAAACAAACAATTCAATGCTTAGTTCACACCTGTGCTTTGTTGGGAGCCAAAACTTCGATGTTGTTCTGCCAAATTTTCCTAAAAGGCTTGTCTCCGTAGACATTTACAGAGTCTTGCACACTGATAGGATCGGGACTGTACAAAATGCAGCTTTGGCCATCGTGTTCTTTCAGACATTTGTGCCCTCACTCCCTTTATGTGATGATGCATGGCAGTAAACACCACCTTAAAGGTTCAGGTGTGTAGGAGCACTTTTCACTGCTGAGTGGTGCCGTTGTAAACATGAGATTAATCTGAGAAGCGGAAAGTAGGAGCACGTTATTGTCACCTGGTGCAAGGTGCTAATCAAGGGACAACTGGGCTCTGGCCCCTGCTTAGAGAACTGATTTTGTGTCTTACAGAAAGAAGTACAGTTTCCAGTGTTGGGATGAGCTCACGGCCAAGTTCAGACACGCTTGTCTATCTGACCCCATGAACCTCAAATGCTTTTCTCTACTGCTTCCAAAGAATGGAATATGAATGGCGGGTGGCCCCACCGACGTAGCTATTAGCCTGATGGTTAGGGTATTTTTTACTGGTGAGACAGCATTCACCATCACTGAACACCTAGACCGAGGAGGGAACCGAATCCAAGTCTCTCATTTTCTAGCCGTTAAACTAGCATACAAAAGAAATGGGCAGCGCTACCGCTTCAAACAAAATTTTTCATTTCTCTATGAGAAAGGACGTCAGCACCTCTCTTCACAGCTGAGGTTCCCAAGAGGTTAGAAGTGCCACTGATGTCTCCTGAGGTAGCCTTCCGAGGTCAGGAATGGTCCAGATATTAGACTCACTCTATTCTGAATGCCTCCCATTGGCTAGCTTCAGGCAGCCATGGGCTGGCCATGCTGGATTTAGTCTGTGCTCTGCTCAGCCTGCTGCTTCTTCTGGATCCCATTAGGAGGTGCTTAACTTCCCATGGAGCCTAACACGGGTTCTGGATTCTTCTCCTGTGTGTAATATCTGACACATAATGAGAAACAGATCCTGGCCCAAAGCTCTAGCCAGCCAAAAATGGAGAAAAAAACCAGACTGGCTGACATTCTGCCAGGATTACGCTCTCACAGGCATACTGATGCCCATGGGATGACATAGATGTAAATTAATTTGGCCTCAGTATTATCGCTTGTAGTTGAAACATTCCGCTGTTTATAACAAAAATAAAGTTGTAGTGGATATTATGAAACATAGGGGCCTTTCAGATGCTTCATGTTGCAACAGCAATTAATGTTCTGCTTAGATGTTTTGGTGAGGCTGGAATTATACCGCCATGACAGTCAGCTCTTATGGTAAGACAACATTTCCCCAAAAATTAACTTCTTGAAATGTATGAAGCCCTGCATTCAAATAAAGGGAAAAAAAAAAACCCAACACAACTTCAAATAAATATCCTGCTAAGTACAAGGAACCAGATCCTCAGCTGATAGAAACCCTTTAAACAGAACAGATCTAAGCAATTTACAGATACTGAGGATCCTTGCTCCAGAATAAATGGAACTGAAAATAACGATTACTTTTTTCCTACTCCCTCCTTCTTCACAATTTATTTTGGTTTGATCTTTCCTAAGGACAGATACAAAAGCGATTGCCTCCTTGGGTAAGTGTGCAGCAGTCACAGGAATCGGGGCTTTTCTCAGCAAAGGAGGAAAGAGAAATTTTGGAGCTACCTACAGCTTTAAATAATCTCCTTCTATTAAAAGTGGGGGGTAAAGAAGTCTGACTTCACAGCCAGGTACTTCTCAGCTGGGTAATAAAGTGATAAAGTTCATTTCTAAGACAGATGAGGAAATGCACTAGAAAATCATTTGTATCAAACTGAAGAAAGAACACGTTTAAATCACCGTGGCTGAGCAGATTTGTGTACCTATCTAATTTTACCTTCTGAGTGCCCCATTAATTTACTGCAGTAAAGAGTATTACACAAATGCCCTGATCTGCTCAGAAATTAGGGCCTGGACGTACAAGCCATGGGGGTGCAAAGAACGTAGCCAAGCTCTTACTGACTTAACAGTAAGAAGAGGGTAATATACCATGGTCTGTCCTTCTGCCTCCACTTGCAACCCCACACTTCTGTTGAGACTATGCGCTTAGTTCCTGAATTTGTGACAATTATCCTGTCAAGGCTGAAGTCATTGAATCTGAGGTCATCTAAGCCAGGCCCTTACCTGCTCCAAACTGGCAGAACTCTTCTCACTTCAGCCAAGCTAGGACAGTCAAGGGTGTATGAAAGCGAGACTGCTACGGTTTCGGGAGAAGTCCTGTCTCTTTTGCTATTGCACACATCCCTCCCATAGAATACCATTCATAAATTGGAAACTCTCCATCTTAGAATTAATTAGGTTTTCTGTCACTGTCCTAACGTGCTGGAAAGCTGTTCCAGGGCCTCACTACTCTGTTTGTTTGAGAAACATGAAGTAAAAAGGCACTTGAAAATAGCAAAATAACACTGGAATGAAAGGGGGGCTAAAAAAATCCATTATATCACTTGAGTTTGCTGCCAAAATAAAGTCTCTGTTTAGTAGGCATCAGCCCAGCTGGTACTTAACTTTTAGTAACTATTGCCATTTCTCTAACAGAGTGAAAAAATGATACTGTGTCTCGCTTAAGTTCTTTCAGACATTTTAAATGTAATTGCGACACCTTAAAGTATTTCTCCTTCCTCACATGTTGCTTGAAGATAGATGACCATAAAAGGGACCAACTGCAATTTGACATGTTACCACATGCTAGCAGTGTCACAGCAGCAAATCTCTTAGCCGCCAGCAAACATCAAGTCGTCTGCTTAACCTGCTATACAGTGGATTATCTTAAATCACACTTACCTTCCACTTGCCTCATACTAAGTGTAGACACACAGATACTTAACTCAGATTAGCAAATAAACTGATTTTGCTGCTGAGCCTTTAGAGAAGAGAATTTCAGTGAGTTTTGCACCTCGGGTCAACTGCTGTGATCTGCCATTTCAAGAGATGGCAGCAACTCAGCCTCTTCTTCTAAGATTAGGCTCAGAGAAGAGCTACTAATAAAACTAAAAAAAAAAAAAAACCCAAACCCAAAAACCAAACAAAAAAACCAAAAGGCCCACCACTAAGCAAAACACACAAGCTAACTACAGGCCCATGGGATGAATGATAAAGATTTTCTCACAACTTACATGCCATCTCATGACATCTCAGCCAGGCATGGGTTGGGATCAGTTATGGAGATATGTTGGTAATATGGTATGTTGATAATAACATATATGTTGATAATATGTTGGGATTAGTTATGAGGAGCAGAAGTTAGGTTTTTTGAGAAGTATATCTGCAAGATTATGTCGCTTTGCTGCTGAGTGTTGTTTTAT